AATTCCCAAAAAAAAAAAAAAAAAAAAAAAGAAAAAAAAGAAACAACAACAAAAAAAATGCCAATAATATTATATCCAGCTAACTAGTGGAGACTGTGAATAAATCCCAGTAAGGGCCCAATCTCTTGCTAATGACTAAAAAAGGATGGGCTGCATGGTGCCCCGCCCTACTTCCCCATTTGGATTTCTAAACCTGCCCTGTGTTGGGCTATAGCAGAAGCTGGCTATCTGCAATATTGCCATGTGGTTGTGCCTGGACAGAGTGGTTAAGGGGACAAGTGTAGCGAAAGTGATTTGCAGCACGTGTGTTTCTTTCTTCAAATGACAGGACTCCTTTGTCTCCCCTTTAAACCATGATATTGCAGGGTTTTACCAGAAGAGAGAATAGACAGTGCCCTGCTCTTCATAGGTAACCTGGAAAAAAACTCAAACCCAGTCTTAGTTGGCATTGGCATGATTTTGCCCTAGAAATCTGTGTACTCTTACTAAGTACTGTGTATAGCATTAACACGTTTTCATAATGCTGAGGCTGGCAGGTCTCCTTCCTTCCATCGTCTCCTTTCTCCCCACACACCAGGAAAGACTCAGATACTTTATTTGAGCCTTGAGGGTCAACTCTTGACTTTGAGATATTGTGAGGAAAGGTGTTGTACAGATGTAAATATGGTTTATTACACATAGTTGCACGATATATTTTCAAAGCCTGAATCCATTTTTAAAAAGTGGGCCTCCCTTTCCCAGCTGTAGCAGGGAGTTAACTGTCATGAATAGGAACCTCTTTATTTACTTCAAACTTCCCTAGGAGGCTTTTGAAAAGGTGATTTTTAGCCACTGGAGACATTTGTGAATACAGTCAAATACATCTTAGTAGTGCTGATAAAATCATCAGAGAGCCTGGGATAGTTCTTTCTCCCTGGACTCAACCGTTTTGTCTATGACTACAAGGGCACCACGTATCCTGATCTCTGGGCAATAGCTTCATCTGTCCTGTAGGTCCAAAGCTGCCTCTCCTATAACCTGTGCTGTCTGTCTGTTGCAGATCTGGACACTTCCTGGACAAAGTCCCCAGCCCTCCAGGACTCAAATCCACACTACCTTCAGCTGCAGACATTTATAGAAGCAAAACAAAATCTACCAACAGTGGCCACACAAGATGGGCAAGCTGCAGATAGAGCAGAAGAAGATATTGTTTACCTGTAATTATGTCGTCATTATTTTACCAAACAAACCCAACTCTGGCACTTTTGGGAGAACCTTTCCTCTCCATTCCTTCTGTGCATGACTGTGCCCAAATTGCTTTAAGAATAATATTTAATATTTCATGCAAGTTCATTCTTGGCCTGAGTCCAATAATTAAATTATTGAAAACAGCTCTGTATAATCTTTAACTTATCACACCTACTTTCAGATTTCCGGAGGAGAAACTAACTTGAATGAGCAGAAATATATTAAAAGTTTCTTTCACTTGAGAATAAAATTTCATATTTCATTTTATATGCGGTTGCTTGGATTTGAAGTGCCTTTTAAGGCAGAAATGAAGCAATTCGGAATTAAAGAATGAGCTTCATAAGGGGTGACCTTTTACTGTCACAGCAGTTGGTTAATAACAGTGGCCTTGGTGCCCAAAAAGCACAAGAGGCTATGGGGAAGGCCTCTTCTCAGCCAGCTTTTCTGTGTCAATCTCTTTGGGCATCAGAGATGGAAATCTGTCGGCATCACCATCACCATCCCACAGCGTGTCCTGCTGGGCTTTTGTTCTGACCCTGTGGCCACTATCCCAGGAACATAGCCTGGAGATGCATAGGACCAGAACCATGCACTTTGAGACACATTTTCTTTCTCCTCACACTGCTGAGATTTTACATCAGTGTTCAGCAGACCACTGCAGCCCCGCCCAGAGCCCCCTCAAGATGGCTGTGACATAAACAGTGAAACTCCATGAAAACCTTTACTTCCATCAGCTGGCCTGCCCTTGTTGTCCCCTGGACCAGGACAAACACACTCTCAGTGAACTTGCTGCCTGGAGGGCCTTTGCCGAAAAAGACAACAGGCAGATCCAGCCTTTGAGTGAGGTGGATGTCTGAGAAAATAACCAGGAGATGTTTCCATTGTGTTCTGCAGAAATATTTGTATATGTTTTGGTCAGTGTCAATAAATATCTTTTACGTCATTATTTTATTCTGTAGTTTTAATATTAAGAATGGGACCATGGTAAAACACGCATTTTGCTCACACATGAATCTCTCTTTATAAAAAGTGAAAATAAAGAAAGACTTTTCAGTTCACCCTGAATTATAGCACTTACCGAGAGATGTTATGGGAACGGAAAAAGGATTCACTCAGATCCCAGTTTTGTTTTCCTGTTTGAAGTTATAAGTTGTATATCTGCATTATATTTTCACTTGGACAAGTTCAATCATAAGTTTTTAAACAAGACTTTTGGGGGACACTCTTTTTTTTTGACTCTTGATGCCTCTGATCATTTTTGTCATAGTTATATTAAAAAGTTAGTGACTAACCTTTTTTTAAATTAAGTTTATTGGTACCTTTTTAGGTATACAGTAGAGTTACATCAGTGACTAACCTTTTTCCAGAATGGGTACAGCTTATTAAAATTCTAATAATCACTTTATGTCCAAGCTAAACTCCTAAACTATAAGATGCATCTCCCATTCTTTTTTTTTCTTCTTTTTATTTAATTTATTGGTACAATCTAGGTCTACAATACAGTTACATTCATTACTTGGATCCTGTACCTTCACATGACAGTTCTTGATTCTCATTTTTTCCCTTGTCCCTGCCCTCCCTTCACCCCCTTCCCTCCCCATTTACAAACTCTTTATTTCCATTTTTTCATTTTCTGCATCTCCCATTCTTAAAGACATCTAGAGAGAGAAAATAAAATTTATCTTCTCTCTAGCTCTGTAAAGCCTATTCCAGAATCCTGTGTCCCTTGAATAAAAATTATGTAGCTATTTTAGTCTAAATCCTTGTTCAGATAACTATAAATATCTTCCTTTTTTCTCATGACAATGGATATGGAGATAGTGAAAATATATAAAGATATTCAAACCCCATGGGTTCTTTAAACATATATGTGCTCGGTTGATTTTCAAGCCCTGCAAAAACGGAGTCTTTATGCAGTCTCCTTGGGAAAACCTGAGTATTTTTGAGGTAACTATATCCTCCTACTTAATGTGAATTTTCTACTGCTTGTAACTAAATTTCAAAGCTTTCTCAATAACTTCTTTTTACCTTGTTCTTATTAGGTAATAAGCACAGATCCTGCTATGATTAGAGCAAATTCATATATTGAAGACATAATCATCGAGAATTGCATTAGGAGGTCAGGACTTCGAAAGGTGATTAGATCATAAGGGATAAGGGCGGAGTTTTCATAAATGGGTTTAGTGCACAGATAAGAGGCCCTGAAGAGCTCCCTTGCCCTTCTCCATGTGGAGGACACAGCAGGAAGAGCTCCCTTTTATTAGTCATGAAGCTGGACCTCACCAGATACCAAATGTGCTGACACCTTTCCTTGGACTTCCTGGCCTTTGGCATTGTGAGAAGTAAGTTTCTGTTGTTTATAGGTGACCTCATTTATAGTATTTTGTCACAATAGTCCAAACAGACTCAGATCTCCACAGAGACTCACTCTGGGGGTGCCACACAAATTCCTTAATCTTAGCAGAAAAAACATTCTATTTGCCAGGTTCATCAATACTTCTCCCCAGAAGGACCTACTTTTCCCACCTAGCTAAGAATTTAAAAGCAATTTGTCAACCTTCCCTAAAAGGATCCCTGTAGAAGTGTTTTGAAGTGAAATGTATTTGATCAGTCCCTTCCAGGCTGCACAAATGTATGTGCCCCTTCATTTTGACCCCAAGTCCCTCTGCATTGCACCAGGGCTACCTAATGGTTGGGATTGTGCAACCCTGCCCAGTGCTCCCACAGCAGACTCCCTGTTTATTCAGAAAAGTCGAACAAACACTGCTGAGGAGTGTGTGTGTTTGGCTATGTGCTTCCCCTTGTTATAAGCACATTATATGGGGTAAAGAAAGTAGCTATGGGACAGCACAAACAGAAGTAAAATGGGAATATATATACATACTCTTTCCTGTGACCTAGGACCCACTTTAAACTCAGAAAAATAACCCCATCTTATTGATGTTTGGCTCCTCTGCTTTTCTCAGTGAGAGGGAACAGAGAATGGTAGCTAAGAAAATGGATTGTGGAGCCAGCTCCGCCACTCACTGGCTGTATGTCCTTGGCATGTTTCCTCACCTCTCTGTCTGTTTCCTCATCTATAAAAACAGAAATAATTGCCTTATGGAGTCGTTGTGAAGATTAAATGATTAATATATGCAGTGTACTTAGAATGGAGCCTGGGGCATAGTAATCACTCACTGTATGCTAGCTATTATTATAATATCATTTAAAAATCTATTAATAATTACTCAGCCTGATTCCAGTCCGCAGGCAGATTGCTCCTGCTGTGCCAGAAGTGGTGAACAGAACATGTGAATGCCTGGATGTGGATGGTCAGGAGATTGGAGTAAGGCTCCATAAGGTTAACTTGCAACTTATTTGCATCTCAAAACCTCCTCTTACCTCCTGCAATAATACTTACTGTCTGCTAAAGGCCAAGCAATCTGTCTGGGGAGAAAAACAAAAGCACAAGCTGTTGGAGAACAGGAACAGATGATCCCGTCAGACAGAGGCACGGTGATACAGGAAGTTTGGGTTGCTATGAGAGCTCATAGGAAGGACATTTTGGGGCCGGATGTGAAGCTGAGGAGTCATCCTACAGGAGGATGACTACAGCAGGAGGTGCCTGTGATTGAAGGACACACAGAGAAGATGTGGAAAACATGTTCCCAGCAAGGAGAGGAATGGAGCCAGTCTAGGGGTGTGATACAAGGGCAGGAGGGATGCTGCAACCCACATCTGGAGCTACCAGAATGAGCCCCTCTAGATTAAGGTGTCTCACCAGAGCACCATCTTATTTCTGCTTCACTTGAGCACTCTTATACGAGTAGTAAGGGAGCATGGATGTCCTCCACCTCCTTGGGTAACTGATTAGGTTCCACATGAAGCCAGGCTCTGAAGAATGAAGGAATATTTGCTTCCATACTATGATGTCATACTCTTAAAGTGTGACCAGATGCATCTCACCCCTAACTTTTCTACACTCTTTCTACCATAATGTAATGTTGGCTCCGGTCAAATGGCCAATTGGATATCTTTGTACTTGTTTCTAACCACAAGAACCAAGAGTAAAGGGATCAGCTTAAAATGCTTACTAGAGCTGAAGGGCCTGGGAGAATGCTCCAGGGTGCCGTTGTGGGGTGAATTGATGACCTGTATGATAACTCAAATGGCAAGAAGGTAAGTGGAGAAGATAAAGGAAAAAGGACAGGCTCACTTTGTTTTTTCTTCATTATTGCCTTCAACAGCCCATTTAGTCTACCATTTTGAGGTGTGTGGAGAATGGAAAATTACAAAAAGCAGGGGGCATGTGGGAAGAAAAGTCTAGAATAATCTTATATGATAGAAAGAGCTTACGGTATTCTTTACCTATTGTCTCTCATGCACCAATATCCCTTTACCAGTGTGAGAGGGGTGATAAAAAGATATGGGAAAGCTCAACAGCCCTGGGCTCTGCTTGCTGAAATTTCGCCAGGACACCTTCACAGCTGTGGAACTGTGCCGCAGAGGACTCATGCACCAGACTCCAGTGGGAGAGGAACCTCCTGCGTCAGACAAGCAACTTTGCTTAGGAGCTAAGTTTGCTCATCTATGGATGGGGATGACAACAGGAGGCAAGCCTTGCAGAGCTGTTGTCAGGACAATATTAGTGAAGCCCAGGACAGTGAGTGGCGCTCAATAATCATCTTTAAAAATGGCGTATGCTTGTGACAGGGATAAGGAAAAGACAAACTTGAGTGTCCTCCAGGACCAAAATAGCAGGGGCATTTTCCTGAAGCCTAAGAGACTTCTCAAATAGAATCCTGCCATGATGCTGGGCTCAGTAAGAGCTCTGTGCTGTGTACTGAATGAAGGGCAAAAGGATGAACAAGAGTCTTTGGAAATCTGAGTTCAAAGAGTTGACAGAACTAGAGCTAGAACCCTGATCCACTGGATTTCTTTGCCTTTGGCTGACAAGCTCGTAGCAGTTCCTTCAAATTGATGACTGAACATGTTTTGCATGCAGCAACTTGAAGGAGGCACCGTGGTTCAGTAGCTCTGTAGAGGTTGTATGGCTGAGAAACCTCGACATGCTATGAATTGAATCTTAGTTGTCTGCCTACCAATAAAACTCTGAGAAACAGAAAGTTGAGAGTTTTAGCTACTCCCTGCAGCCAAGAGTCTCAGAACAATTACCCAAGGACAAAGGATAAACTTGGTGAGGAAATGAAAGTATATTTTCTTTGCTGATTTAACAATATTAGAGAACTGTCTCTTGTCCTAGTAAGTGCTCCCACCACTACTTCCCCAGTGACCCTCTTGTTCACAGGCCTGGTGACCCCACAGGCTTCCCACTCAGATTGGCTCTGTCCCCAGCCAATGCAGGGATCAGTTGTTCGCAGAGATTCGCAAAGTTCCAGTCCTTGTGGAAAGTTCAGGAAGGTTCTCTTTTTGTTTGGGGGCCCAGCTGAGTGTCTCTGTTTTATTTCATAAAAGGAATTTGATTTATTTGCTAACCTGCATTTTTACTTATCCAAGAGTTTGTCCAAGTTCTTTAGTTTCTTCTGCTAGACTGGTTTTGGATTGTTTGCCTGTTTCTAGAAGAAAGTAGTGAGGGGTAAAGGGCACGAGCTCCACTGAATGGTTTGCTTCTGGTGAACAACTCAGTTAAACAGTGAATGATGGACGCTGGTGTAATCCAAAATACTCCTTGGAAGTAAATGTCTGGCTTCATTTTTCCATGCTTTCCTTATCACTGCTTGCCCCAGCCTCCAACACCATGGATAATAGAGGAAAATGGAGGTTTTCTGGGGACTTTCCAGGGCTTATTTTTGTAATCTGTAACATAACAGCTTCAATATAAACATGAACACAGCTAGCATCGTTGAGAGCATCTGCATAGGCTATGGAGCTAAAACACATTCTCAGAAATGTGTTTGACTTTTCCCTTGGCAGCTTCAGAGGCTCCTTGGAAAGCCATCGTC